AAAATAAAAATAAATAAATAAATAAATAGAGCGAGTTTGTACCCAGAGTCCACTTGGGAGATTCATGTCGCAGCGTCACTGTGGCTGAGTCGACGTGGCCAAACTGTGTTATACACAGCATGTGATTGACCAAAGTATACTGAATGTGACCGTAAAAAAAGAGTAGATTCTTTTGAGATACTTCAGATTGCGATTTTGCGATCGACTCACATAAATATCATGATGGATACAATAAAGCTCTTCGGGAGAGATCCCTCAAGCGGTAGACTATCTATCCACTCTCATCTCCATTGACACACGCGATTCCACTTTCAAGGGTGAAGACGGTAGCCTTTCACTTCAGCCCTTCTGTGTCGCTTCATTCACTGAAGAGTTGCCCCAGGTCGCAGCAAACCCACTCCATACTTGTTCTGGTCTGCTTGAGCATTCTGCAGCTTTTGCTTTGAAAAGGGCTCAATCAATGTGGCCATTTGTTTAGGCCCATTGCAAAAGCTTCAAGGCACACACACACACACACCCACACACACCCACCCACCCACCCACCCACCCACATACTACACACACACACACACACACACACACACACACACACACACACAAGAGTCTGCAAAAGGGATCAATCACCTAGAATGCATGTCTTGCTATGTTCTAAAGGGGGGGGTCAGTCAGGAAGACCCCACCTGTGAGGACCAACAGGGAGGGCTTGTTCACCATTTTTTTTCTTTTCTTTTCTTTTTTGTTTCTTCAAAAAGGAGTAGCCACCAACTTGCTTGTTTGTTCTGCATCCATCTGATTCGATCAGGATTTGAACTCATGCTCTCTTGATCGAAGCATCAGACCTGTGTCGGTGCGGGCACCAGTCAGCTCCATGCACTGCGTTAGAGTCGGCTCTTCTAACAAAGGTGTATCGGCAATTACTTCCAAATCGTGGTGCTGTGAAACAAGAGAGATCACTACGTGCAGAATTACATGCTTGCCTTTTTTGTACCCATCTGATTCCACGGGGATTGAACATAAGATCTGTGGATATCGACCATTGCAGGTGTGTGGCAGTCACAGCTACACTGGCATGGGCAGGGTTAGACAGGGAACCTTTTCAATAAAAAAATCGCAGCACCTTTTCTTGACTGTGTTGCTGTGACAGAAGTGATCACTGATGTGCCCTCCCTTCCCACCGCTCTCCTCTCCTCCCCCCGGCACCCACTCCCTCTCTCCTTTTTTTATTTATTTATTTTAAATTTTAATTATTTGGCACATGAAATTCTACCTCTCCATCCTTCCTTCCAATTGTTGTTGTTTTTGCTGTTGTTGTTTGTATGTCGCTTTTTTTTTTCTTTCTTTTTTTTCCCAAAAGGGCAACCACTTTGAGATATCATCGTTGAACCGACCGGCCCCAGGTAATTCAGAATGATTTTATTCCATTCTTCTAGTGGTATCTGGATTCGAACTTGGGATGATTTTATTCGGGTTTTCTAGTGGTATCCGGATTCGAATTTGGGATGATTTTATTCGGGTCTTCTAGTGGTATCCGGATTCGAATTTGGGATGATTTTATTCAGGTCTTCTAGTGGTCGATGGATTCGAACTTGGGATAATTTTATTCGGGTCTTCTAGTGGTATCTGGATTCGAACTTGGGATGATTTTATTCGGTTCTTCTAGTGGTATCTGGATTCGAACTTGGGTGTGTATTTCAACAGTTCATGGGTGTACAAGCATCAGTGATCTGTCTCCCACCACAGCTTTCTTTTCGGCTGGTGCCGGGTTTACAGACCGATTGCGTTCTTGTGAATTGCTCTCTCTGTTGCCGTTTTCTTACGCGCTTCTTCGTTTGCCTTCGTCTCCTCTTCTTGTCTTTCTTTGTTTTTTGGCCCAACAGCATCGCTTCAGCTGTGCTGCGTCCCATTCCAATCGCACCCAGTTTGCGAGCCCACGATTCCCGCCAGCATACGAGCGCTTCTCCCGACGAACGGAACGAAGAAACGAAGCAAGCCATAGGCCGGTCCTCAGTCCACTCCTGCCTCCTTAAAAAAAACAGAACAGGGTAAGCATGCCATTGCCTTATTCTACCTTGACACAAGTTTGTTTGTTTGTTTGTTTGTTTGTTTGTTTGTTTGTTTGTGTTTGTTTGTTTGTTTGTCTGCTTGTTTGTTTGTTTGTTTGTTTGTTTGTTTGTTTCCCTAAACTCCTTCCCTCACCTCCTTATCTTATCAAGGAAGAGAAATGCCGTCGCAAAGTGTTTCTGTGCTGGTGCTCCATATTATATGAAATACTACAACATTTGCGCTTTATCTATAATCCCTCTCTCTCTCTCTCTCTCTCTCTCTCTCTCTCTCTCTCTCTCTCTCTCTCTCTCTCTCTCTCTCTCTCTCTCAACCCCTATCTCCTCCATTCCTGTTCTATGGTGGGTTGGTTGGTCGTTGGATGGTGTATGGTCTGTTGGTCGATTGAGTGAAAATTTGAGTCTCATCGAGTCCTTAACCTCTGGTTGGTTGGGCGTACTGGCTCCACTGCAGTAACTCCACTGTAAGAAGGTGCAGTAAGGAGTTACTGGTTGGTTGGGCGTACTGGCTCCACTGCAGTAACTCCTTACTGCACCTTATCTTATCTTATCCGGTTTGGTTTGGTTTGGTTTGGTTTGGTTTGGTTTGGTTTCCACTTGTGAGATCAGAAAAAGAAGAGGGGTGAAACTAAAGGTAGTATTACCGTAGTAAATAACTCGTGAATCACGTGATTGAAAAAGGAGGAGAACGAAAAAAAAAGAACGCAGAGGGAGGAACGGATTGTGAAAAGGCCATAATCCCCAGATGCTGTATGCGTGGCTCACTGTATGGTCAAGACTCAAAAGCCAAACACTCTTTACTTCAGAAAAAAATACACAATATTGAGTCTGCTAATGGGTTCGTACACGTGGTTTGGATAAATTTTGCGCTTGCATAAATGCCAAACACTCTTTTTATTTCAGAAAATTTTTCAAGATTGAATTTGCTAAATTAAATGTGATAATACGTCCTCTTTGGGGAATTTGCTCCCCACCCGGAAGTGCCTACCTATCCACCAACAGAAGCACACTTGAGAGAGAGAGAGAGAGAGAGAGAGAGAGAGAGAGAGAGAGAGAGAGAGAGAGAGAGAGAGAGAGAGAGAGAGAGAGAG